CCCCAAAACCCCAAAACCCCAAAACCCCATAAAATCAGCCCAAAATTGACTTTTTGGTCCAAAAGGAGGGTCCAGGAAGAGAACAGAGCAATTATGGATGGATTTATGGGACTTAAAATAGTGGGGAAATTGTTAAAGGGGTGGATTTAGGGGTCTGTGGTTGGAATATTGGGGTGTGGAGTGGAGAAGTGAGGGGGTAGGTGGGGTTGATGGGTTAGTGGTGGAGTGCTGTTAGGGAGAGTAAGGGTGAAGTTGGTTAGGGGAGTGTGATGGAGAGGTTTTAGGGTATTTTTTAGTATTTGTGGGGTTTGAAGGGAGTCAGATCTTGTGGTTGTGTGGAGAAGAGAGGGAGGAGTATGATAATGAAATTTTCGGCAAGTTGGATGGATTTATTAGCACAATATATGGAACGATGGTATTTAAGCAGAAGGCTTTGCAGTACTTCATTATGAATCAATGTAAGAAGTATTATCCTGAGGAGTATAGATTTTATCCTGCAAGCTACTAGTTCATGAGGGAGTTTGATCTTCTTAAAGACAATATTACTCTAATTTTTGGAATGAAATTCTAATCTTATAATATTTTATTTAACTTTCAAAATTTAAAGATAGTTTTAAAGATATCTGTTCATTGAACACTCTGACTTAATTTGACGATTTTTATAATTTATTAGCTTGCTTGGTAAAAACATTGTTTGTTCATCGTCAAATAATAATTATCAAAATCTGGATTGCATCATACAAATTCATCAGAAAGCAAACCTTGGATCTGAAAACCATTAGTAGGCTTTGGGGGACAAGATATTTTCTGCTTTGAAACACTTAAAGAGCTAGAGAGCAAGGATAACCTTGAAGGAAGGGTCGTTTAGTAATTCATTGCGAATCCTCTAACTCTCAAAGGTAGGAAATGGGATGCAAGAATATACGTCATAATTCATGGAGTCAATCCGATGAAAGGGTATGTTAGCTCTGATATCGGAATTGTAAGAGTCTGATCTGCTGAATATAGTAGAGAAGTTGTATCCAATCCTCATTGTACTACCACAAATTCTTCCAAGAACACTGGCAATCCGAACTATGTCTCAGAGCCAGATGGTCAGAAAGATCAAGATATTATCTATAGCAAGTATCCTCTATCTCGGTCTTGGGAGCTGATCAGTCAGGATCTTCATGATACAGAAACTGCACTTGTTAAAATGAAACAAGGTATCAGAGATCTTGTGAATTCATTGCTCAGATGCTACAGAAGCTCTATTGAAGCCGAACAAGCAGACTTCATTGAGATGGATGGAACAAATGAACAAAATGATAAGCTCTTCAACATCCTAGGGTTTGATATAATGTTTGATGAGGATCTTCAACCATGGCTACTTGAGACTAATAGAAATCCAAGCATGGTGCTTACTTCCTTAGTTTTAAACGAATCAGGAGTTTTGACTAATAAAGATTCAAAGGTTGCAATTGAAGTCAAAGCTAATCTCATCAACGAAGTTGCTAAAATCCTTATTAATAAAGAAGACAGCAATTATTTTCTGAAGTGTTATGATAACTCAGATCCAGAATCTGAGGATGCAAATTTTATTTATGAAAGAGTGTTCAAGATATTCAAACATATCTGAGGAGCAAAGCTCAAGAGGACAGTGTTGATTAATGACTTTATAAATTATATCAGTTCATTGCCTGAAGAGCTCATTAGGAGTATTACAAGTGATCAGATAATCACAAATTTAAACCTCAAAGAGGAAGGAGAAATTACTCTTACACAGTTCTTCTTGATGTTGGAGAAATTTCCGGAATTCTTATCAGTCAATTTTCTAGACTTCCTAATCAGAATTGAGGAGGATTAAAATTTCAATTGAAATTACCTTTATTGGGGTTTTGGGGTTTTGGGGTTTTGGGGTTTTGGGG